TCTGAAGAAGGGTCCAGACCCGCAACGTCAGCTTTCCTGCTCCTCTGTTGCTGCTTGGCCTGCTGTGTTCATCCAGCTCTACACTTTGTTATCGCTAATAAAAGAAATATGTTCTTTACATATTTCAGATGTTTAAACAGGTAATTGCAATGAAAAATTTCTCTAAACGTTTCCTGTGATGATGTTGTCGCAGACTTCAGCCAGTGGGTGACATTTTTGAGCAATTTTCTGAAGGTTCTCCTACCTATATTGTCGTACATAAATTATAGCCAACTGAGAAATCATTAAACACAGCATTAAAGTGGTGGATTTTTTTCATTCATTCATGGGACGTAGGCATTGCTGGCTGGGTCAGCATTTATTGTCCCTGCCTAGTTACCATTGAGAAGGTGGTGGTGTGCTCTCTTCTTGAACAGCTGCACTCCGTGTACTGTGGGTTGATCCATAATGCCGTTAGAGAGAGAATTCCAGGATATTGACCAAGTGACAGTGAAGGAACAGTGATATATTGCCAAGTCAGGATGGTGAGTGGGTTGGAGGGGAACTTCCAGGTGGTGGTGTTCCCATGTATTGCTTGTCCTTGTCCTTCTGGATGGAAGTGGTCATGGGTTTGGAAGATGCTGGCTAAGGGTCTTTGATGAATTTTTGCAGTGCATCTTGTAGATAGTACACACTGCCGCTACTGAGCATCGGTGGTGGAGGGAGTGGATGCTTGTGGATGTAATGCCAATCAAGCGGGCTGCTTTGTCCTGGATGGTGTTAAGCTTCTTGAATATTGTTGGAGCTGCATTCATCCAAGCAAGTGGGGAGTATTCCATCACACTCCTGACATGTGTCTTGTAGATGGTGGACAGGGCCTGGGGAGTCAGGAAGTGAGTTACTCACCACCGTATCCCTAGCCTCTGACCTGCTTTTATAGCCATTGTATTATGTGATGAACCCAGTTGATTTTCTAGTCAATTGTAACCCCAGGATGTTGATAGTAGGGGATTCAGTGATGGTAACACCATTGGATGTCAAGGAGACAGCAGTTAGATTGTCTCTTATTGATGATGGTCATTGCCTCGTATTTGTGTGGCACGAATGTTACTTGCCACTTGTCAGCCCAAGCCTGGATATTGTGCAGATCATGTTGCATTTGAACATGGACAGCTTCAGTATCTGAGAAGTCACGAATGGTGCTGAACATTGTGCAATCATCGGCGAACATCCCCACCTCCGACCTTATGATGGAGGGAAAGTCATTGATAAAGCAGCTGAAGATGGTCAGGCCCAGGACTGTACTCTGAGGAACTCCTGCAGAGATGTCCTGGAGCTGAGATGACTGACATTCAACAAACACAACCATCTTCCTATTTGCCTGGTATGATTCAAATTAGTGGACCATTTCCCTTCTGATACGCATCGATTCCAGTTTTGCTAGGGCTTCTTGATACCACACTGGTCGAATGCAGCCTTGATGTCAAGGGCTGTCACTCTCACCTCACCTCACCTCTGGAATTCAGCTCTTTTGTCCAATTTTTGAACCAAGGCTGTAATGAAGTTTGGATCTGGGTGGCTTGGCAGTGCCCAAACTGGGCATCACTGAACAGATTATTGCTGAGAAATAGCTGCTTGATAGTATTGTTAAGGACACATTCCATCACTTTACTGATGATCGAGAGTAGACTGATGGGTCTGCCAGGTTAGATTTGTCCTGATTTTTGTGTATTGGACATACCTGGGTAAAATTTCACATTGTTGGGTAGATACTGGAGTTGTAACTGTATTGGAAGAGCATGACTCGGGCAGTGGCAAGTTCTGGAGCACATGTCTTCAGTACTATTGCCAGAATGTTTTCAAACCCATTTGGATTTGCACCATTCAGTGTCTCCAACTGTTTCTTGATATCACATGGAGTGAATCAAATTAGCTAAAGACTGGTATCTATGATGTGGGGGCCATTGAAGGAGGCTGAGATGGATCTTCCATTTGGCACTTCTGGCTAAAGGTTGTTGCAAATGTTTCAGCATTATCTTTTGCACTGATGTGTTGGGCTCTTCCACCTTTGAGGATGAAGATATCTGTAGAGCCTCATCCTCCAGTGAGTTGTTTAATTGTCCACGATCGTTCACGACTGGATGTGACAGGGCTGTAGAGATTAAATCTGATCCATTGGCTATGGAATTGCTTAGCTCTTGTCTATCACTTGCTCCTGTTTGGTAGCTTCACCAAATTGACACCACGTTTTTAGGTATGAGACAAAAGAAAACTGCTGATGCTGGAATCCAACGTAGCCTCAAACACTTCCACCAACTCCAATTAAACTCCACCACCCAGAACATCTTCCACTCCCCACCGCTCTCTGCCTTCCCTTTGCCACTTCTCAGTTCACGTCACACTCCCCACCAACCACTCCAACTCCCACCCTGTGCATAGAGCATTGATCATACAGACTACAAAAACAGATATTGCTGGAAAAACTCAGCAAATCTGGCAGCATCTGTAGAGAGAAAGCAGAGTTAACATTTTGGGTCCAGTGACCCCTCTTCAGGACTCAGAGTTGTCCATCTTGGCTTCTTTACCTCAACTATTAATTATTCAGGTACTGATGTCATTTACATGCTCTTTCCTTACAGTCTCTCCAGCAAAATCCCCAGCTTCGCTCCTCCCAGTGCAATGTAGTGTTTATTTGAAACAGGTATCTACTTCTGAGTTACTGTCCATGATGTTCTGCATCTGACCTTGAGAAGGCACATCAGAACAGTTCTTTGTGATGACTGGTTCTTCTGTGTTAATTTTCTGAACCTTCCCTTCTTTGAGTAAGAGCTTGAGACGAGGTCAAGCATACCCACTCAAATATTACCTGGGCTCCTTTCTAATCAGTTTAAACATACCCTTAATAAAGCACTGAAGAAAGCATGGATAATTTTCCCATTTTCTTTTCAAACTCCACTCTTCTTCACAATCTTTGCGTAAGTCTAAAAACAACAGAAATTGCTGGAGAATCTCAACAGGTCTAGCAGCATCTGTTGGAGTTTGGAGAGGGGTGTGGGGTGCGAACAGAATTGCCATTTTGACTTCTCATCAGAACTTCAGTAACTTTTGCTGCTGTTTCAGATCTCCAGCATCCGCAGTTTTATGTTTTCTTTCTGTGTTTTTGTGGGTTTCTATGGCATTTCTTCTCACACGTTGCAATTAATAAACTCACTTATTGCATTTAATTCAAGTTATAATGGCTCCTTCTAAAACACAAGTTGGTTTGGGTCAGGGATAAAGATATCCACAAGAGATGGCATCCTTTGTAAATTAAGCACGTCTGGTGAAACAGAGTTAATAGTTTGAGTCCGGAGTGAATCTTCAAAATTGTTGAGTTTCTCCAGCTTTATTTGTGTGTGTTTCCAATTTCCAGCATCCACAATATTTTGCCTTTTTTCTTTTCAAGTTAACACGTTGCAACCAACCAAGAGAGTGCGTAAATAAATCAGTGAAGCCCATTCATCTCTCCTCACCCCAGGATCTTAACAGTTTGGGGTGTCACATCTGGGAACATAACAAATTGGGGAACTTTTCCAGGAGTCCAGTTGTAACAACAGTATCTGAATTCTTTAGACTAATTTTCAACTGTTTCCATATGAATAGATTTTAATCAGCTATCTGGATGGTCTTCAGTTTTTTTAAAAAAGCTCTTTCTTTCTGTTAAGCTGGTTAGAAGAGTAAAGTTTATCAGCACTGATCGCATGTCAAGTGTTAATAAGATACTGCTTGCAATCAAGTAAAACAAATGTGGTCATGTTGCATGCAAGTCAGTGACATTATTTGAATATGACTTGATGAGGCTCAGATTGGCACTTAGTAATGACTGGAAGTAATGAGTTAGATTCATATAACACTGCCCCGAGGCATTTCAACAACGTATAAGAAAAAATGGGTGCAAAACCAAAGGAGATTTGTCAAACAGGTGGGGTTTTAAGGAGGATTTTGTAACAGTGGCATTTATACAGCAACTATATATGTTTGAACATCCTGTCCAACACTGTACCAGACAAACGATTTTCACGTACTATCATTCGTTCCCGTTCTCTGTGTTTAGTATGATCCTCTGAGCAATACTTGCTTTCTGACACTTCTCCCAAATGACTCTGCTCCATTTGTGAAAATGTACTGGGCTATTGGTAGATTAATTGCCCAGGAGTGCACCACAAGCAGGCCCAATCCTGCCTTCACCTGGATTATATTAACATTTCATTAAGAATACAATCTGGAGCACAATTCTTTTCTCATTGGTCTTGGCACTGCTGAAACTAATTGTATCATCCCCATTACTTTCCTGCCAAGATTGGCTGACTCTGAACAAAGTGAGGGTCAGATACAGTACTTTGGTCTGTGAGGTTCAGTGAAACACTGCAGGATGTATTTTCTGACTGAACGAAAACCTATTCATGAAAACAGTGGCCCCCTTCAACAGAAATCTGATGAGGAGGACTTGTAGTTCAGCTGGAGAAGATTTACAAGCAGGGAACCAAAAAATAAACAACGATGTAGGTAAAGTTGTAATGACCAGAGCTGAAGGATGATTGGAATTACATGGTTGCAGCAATCAACAGCTTCTTTCTGGAGAGACTTTCTCCACTGAGGGGATTGGGTGTTGCTGACAGGAGGGAACATAAGTAAGTGCTTAGTTTTTTTTTGTATATATATCCCCTGAAATTGCAATCAAGAATGGAATGTTTGTACATAATGTTCAGAAAGGACTGGCATTGCACTGCCTTCGCAGATTGTTGTCCCTATATTATTCGTAACTGGATTGTTCAGTTTTTTTTTTTTGTCTTCCAGTTTTATTTCCAACTTCTATAACAGCTCCCCCACCACCACCAAAAGACACTTGCTTTTGATGGGGTTACAGTCTGCCAGTGCCATCTAAACTATGCTACCCAACCCAAGTCCACATTTGTCATGTATAAGCTGTTCCATCATGGAATGAAGGAATCAGAGAAGGAAAAGGTTCACTAGGATGATCCCTGGTATGGAGGGATTGTCGTATGAGCAAAGGCTAAACAGGTTGGGACTCTGGTCACTGGAGTTTAGAAGAATGAGAGGTGATCTCATTGAAACATATAGGATTCTTAAGGGGATTAACAGGGCAAATGGTGGGAGAATGTTTCCCCACCATCGCCCCCCCCCACCCCGCCCAGGGGAGAGTTTAGTATCAGAGGACATAGTCTCAGAGTAAAGGGATGAAATTTAAGGCAGGTTAGAAGGAATTTCTTCATCCAGAGGGTGAAAGTCTTTGGAACTCCTTGCCACTGAGAGCTGTGGAGGCAGAGTCCTTGCATATATTTAAGGTTGAGATAGATTCTTTATCAGTGGGGAATCAAAGGTTGCAGGCAGCCACCGTAATCAAAGACCCCTCCCACCCTATTTATTCTCTCTTCCACCTTCTTCCATCGGGCAGAGGATATAGAAGTTAGAATACAGGCATGAACAGATTCAAGAACAGCTTCTTCCCCACTGTTGTCAGAATTTTGGATGGGCCCCTCGCATGTTAATGTTGATCTCTCTCTCTGCTGCTGTAAAACTATATTCTGCACAGTTCTACTACTCTGATGTACTTTGTATGATACAATCTGCCTGTATAGCATGCAAAACAACACTTTTCACTGTATCTCTGTACATGTGGTAACAATAAATCAAACTCAAAGTGGAAATGAAGAATGTCGGGTCAGATCAGCCATGATCTTATTGATTGGTAGAGCAGGCTTGAAGGGCCGAATGGCCTACTCCTGTCCCTTATGGTATTATGGTCTTCTCATCACCCAGCTCAAGCCCATTCTTTACTTTTCCATATGAACTTGCCTGTCAGGGAATCCATGTGTTTGTGATCAGGAGCAGGGATCCCATTTTGGCCTTACTAACCCGAGTGCATCTCTGGCCTGGGAATTCTAGAACTAATTGTAAGACCTGTCTTGCCGTTCCAACTAACTCTAGAAATAAACTTAAATTGGAGACCATGAAGTTCAGGCATGCAAATGGCAGGAGGCAAGATGGGTCTTTTAAGTGGAATTCAAATCCACAATCACTGTCCAGTGTGTTAGTGAATCAGTCAACCTAGGAAACTTCCTGATCTATCCTTGATCTGCAATTTCTATCTTGTCTTGAGGAAATCACAGAGAAAGTAGATGGTCATTATTTTATTGTGATACCATCAAGTAACAGTAACTTATCCCAAATTCAGCATTACCATAAGATGTAGGAGCAGAAGTAGGCCATTCAGCCCATCGAGTCTGCTCCACCATTTAATGAGATTGTGGCTGATCTGATAATCCTCAACTCCATTTTCCTGCCTTTTCCCTATAAACCCTTGATTTCCTTACTGACTACAAATCTATCTCAGCCTTGAATTTACTTCACAACCCAATGTCTACAGGCCTCCGCAATAAAGAGTTCCACAGATTCGCTACCGTCTAAGAGAATAAATTCTTCCTCATTTCGGTTTTAAAAGGGCAACCAATTATGATTGTTTTCAAAAGAATCATATCCTTGGAATCTTAACCTACAACCTTAAAGCCATTAATAAAATTCCTGAAGTGCAGAAAGAGGTCATTCAGACCACCAAGTCTACAGTGACCCTCCAAAGAGCATTCCATCTGGACTCAGTCCCCTGTTCTATCCCCATAACCCTGCATTTACCGATGCTAACCCAACCAGCCTTCACATTTCTGGACACTATGGGTAATTTAGTATGGCCAGTCTATCTAACTTCCAAATGTTTGGACAGTGGGAGGAATCCAGTGCATCCAGAGGAAACCCAGGCATGCAGAACATGCAATCTCCACACAGACAGCCACCCAAGGCTGGAATCAAACCAAGGCCCCTGACATTGTGAGGCAGCAGTGCTAACCACTGAGCCACCATGCCACCCGCACGAGTGACAATTTTTATCCAAGTGTATGGTGCAGCTATTGATGCTGTCTCTGTATCTTATGTTGATGCATGACTCCAGGAACACAGAAAATTCCTGGCAAGGTTGATGACCAGTTTATCTTTTGTTAACATTCACACAAGTATAACAAAGGAACACCTAACAGTAGTAAGGGAAAGTTTCATGCAGAACTTATGATCTTAACTTTGGATCATTCTGGAACAAAATAAAGATCTAAGAAATGATTTCCCATTGTGTTGCCAAAAACCTGCAATGTGGGCCAAATGAGAAATGCTACAAAATCCGCAAGCTTTTTACTGCACTCAAAGTTAACTATGATGTTCTTTGATATGTTTGTAAACATATATGAGCAGAATTTAATATCCTCCCCGTGGCCAATTTTGTCTTGGGGGTTTTGGCATTTAGTTGAGTGGGCACACTATCACCTTCCTGCTGTCATCTTGATTAAGTCTTTGGTAGGAAGGCCCATGAAAGGTCTTCCCATCCCAGTGCTAAAGGAGGGTCTTCATCCCAGTGCCACTAGTTTTATCCCACTTGTAGACAGGATCTCCCAAGCTGGGCACTTGGCAAGGGAGTCATGATTGTGTATGGGTTCCTGGGCAATCGCTCATTGACCAGACACTCAATGTTTGATTGAAGGACATGGCATTGGGAAAAGGGGACCCACCAAGAAGCAATCCTCATTGCCAATCTCCCTCTCCGCTCCCCCTCAATCAACACCACTGCATGACCCCCTTCCTACCATCAGTGTCCTGTGGCCAGGGATCCACAATACCAGGCTTTCGGTGGGTGTCATTGCTGGCAATAAACTACTGTCTTATTGGTGGTGCTGCCGTTCAATAGAGCAGCCAGTGCCTGATGGACTGACTAGCAGCTCTCCACAGGCAGGCCTTCCATACCCTTCTGCCATCCTGATCCCATGCAATGCCCGCTCTTGTTCAGTTAAGTGTCCTCCTTCCAATGGGTTAGCCCATTTCCCCATTCGGCTCCATTAAACAATTGCCTGCTAATTTCCCACCTAAGGACCTCACTTGGCTGGCATGGAGTTAATTGAGGTAAGGTATCTGCCCAGCAAACCCCTGGCTAAATAAATGCCCCCTTGCTATTAAACCCACTGTGGGAGCAAGGCAGTAAATTCTGCCCAAGGTCTCTACACTATCTCAACGTTATGAAAAATCTATTTGTTATTTTTTACATATAAAATAAATTATCTTGGAGTAAATGCTCCTTTTTTTTTTCCTTCGTGGACAAGGGACTTTGTGGTTTTTGCAATATCACTTCCTGTGTGAATGTATCCCCCACCCGTCCAAAAGTAGCACTGGGGGCTGCCATTTGCAAGTTGGCATTCCTGTGTCTTGTTTGTCAATGCACTTGGCCTAGACTTTTCCCTGCTGATCCTGTTAGTGTTCAAACACATTAAATGAGAGATAGTGGCCAGCATCCAGTCCAGCCCCGCTAATCACTCTCCATCGTGGGAAAGCCACAAGATGGGGTCTAAAAAACAGGTCATTGTCTCTGCAAGATTAAAGCAGAAAAAGCGGTATTGTGTGGCAGAGGGATAAATCTTCCTGCTGTCACTCAAAGTCTGAATTAAACTCTCCTTCATTTCTAAGGGGCTTATCTGTGCTGAATAGGTTGTTACACCACAAGTGTAAGGGAATGTATTTAGTGAGCTTCCACTCAGCCACCTTCTCACAGAGCACATAGAAGGCGAAAAACTCGAGGCGAAAAATAAAAATGAAAACCTTCAGATTATGAAAGAGGATGTTCATGCTGCTAGATTGTTATCATGTGAAGAGGCAAATGGTCTTGGCTTCATTGCCAGTGCTTTGCATTGTCTGCCCCTAATTCCACCACTTCCTCCTCTGGTCCGAACGACCGCTGTGTGGCTGCTGTTTTCCGGAGGTTATCTGCTATTGAAGGAAGAAGAAAGCAGCTTGTGCCTGCTAGGGGGAGAAAAGGGGCAGCTAGAGCCTGGGCGAAGTGTAATATTGCAAAGAGAAACTCTCTCGTAGCGGAGAATGTAAAAGCCCTGGCTACAATGTGCCTGAAGGGTTTGCAATGTAATTTTCACCTTTTTGAATCACCTTTGTTTGTTTATTTCTCTAATTATCGGTTGAGTTTACAAATGTACTCTTTGCCCTTCCATTGACATTTTGAAAGTTGCAAAACAGGTTAGTTTGCAACTGGGGAATTACTGAGACATCAAGATGGTTGATCTCTGGTGTCATGGCGACGCTGCAGTAGGGTAAAGATTAAGGAGTATCTTAGACTCAATCATAGTAAGCAAATTAAACATTCAATTTCTTGCTCCAGGTTCAATTATTTGTGCACATTGATTGTTTGTTTGTTTGTTTGTTTGTTTTTTTTTAAAAATGGGCATCGTTACTTAGGATGTTGGTAACTTGAATTTTTATAGCACCTTTTAAAGCAATAACATGTCATAAAGTGCTTTCCAAGAACATTTAAAATAAAGTATGACAGCAAACTGTTTAAGAGGATTTCAGGTCCGATGACCAAAAACCTGGTCAAAAATGTAATGTTAGTTACTTAATGAAGGAAAGTGAGCTAGAGAGACAGAGAGGTGCAGGAACGGACTCTAGAACTTAGGGTCTCAGAAACTGTAGACATGGCCAGCAGTGATGGACTGATTAAAATTAGGGATGCATGTGAAGATACCTCAAGGGGTTGTGGAGCTGGAGCAAATTAGATAGGAGGGGGTTAGAC